GTCAGAACCCCACCACATCTAAATCCGCCAATGTGAACTGTATTTCAGGGAATTATTTGCTACTTTTTGTCATTCATTTTCAGTTATGTGCTGTTGGTATTGTTGCACATACTCATCGTTTTTCCCCTTAATGGGGATATCCTCTTGATGGCATCCACAGTCTGGTGCTCATGCAACTCTTCTAAGGTCATTCATTTATCTAATTCTTGTTCCCACTTAATTTTCAAAGCAATAGCTGTGTTTTTAAAAATTAATAATCTTGCACTTTATATATTTATCTATCATTTCAAATATTTTCATATGTCATTTTAATCAAAAAGGGCCTTGCTTATAGATACTTATAAAACGACTGTGAAGTCATAAAACATCTTTAATATACTCAACTTTCAGCGAAATATGAAAATTATTGTATAACAACAGCATAGGAATTTCGAATGTAGTCTCAAAGAGGCATTTTAAATTTTTTTATTTCTTATCTGTAAAATTCAGATCAGAAGAGGATAATTTTACATAATCACCAGTGACAATAATAAGTGATGACAACATAATTTAAAAATCTCAGAAATCATGAATAAAAAATATATAGTTGTCTGCTATACAGTCTCCATAATGACCATATACTGTGAAATGAGAAATGCACAGTTACCTTTTATTATTAACACCAATTAAACAATGACATAAATCTAGTACTTATAATAATAATAATAATAATAATAACTCCATTAAACCTTAACATCACATTTTATAGATATAGTGGTAGATTGTGAAGTAACAAGACAGCAGAAACCAGCACTACATATAATGTCTGTTCTGTTTCTCTCCATAATTTAGCAAAGACTTACATTGCACCATAACCAACCACTATTTCACCCCTCTTTACAGCTTTCCTCTCACATAATAATTTAGCTATTCTAGATTTGTTTATCATAAGATAAATCCTTGTCCATGTACAGATAATGTAGCAAACAACTTGCCTTTCAAATATACTCTATTTACTGTATAACAATTTTTATACTGATGGTGTTTTTCTTTTATTCAATGTACCCTTTACTATGTAACAAACATCATAATAAAAAAATTGAGAGCAAAATTGGCAAATATACAGAAAAAAGCTAATATTCATTGTGCCATTTTCATATATACAGACAACGTACTGAAGATTTTTATGTGTGCTTCTAGTTTTTCCACATCCAACAGTTATGAAAAAAATAGACATAATGATTCACATTTATCTTTCACCAGTTGAATATCTCTCAAATCAGTGAAGGCTCCATCCTTGCTAACAGAGTACAAGTACAATAGTTTGTGGGTGTTCTTAGAGTACAGATTTCATCTCCTTTGAAGTATAGAACAGGAAATATGCAGCTGAACTCTGAAATTAAAAGAAATATGAAATACAATTACAGGAATGCACCAGGGAAACATTTTTGAGTTTGTCACAGACACTGCTGTGGATCAATAACAAGGCAGCAAAATTGTCAAATGTACAGACAAAAAGCAGAAAAAAATGATGCACAAAATAGCTAACTGTCAACTTTGATGCAAAAATACATTATGATTAACAGAAAAGTCAACATCAAATTTTAATTATGCAAAACAGGTAGAATGGATGTAAGTAAAATGTGTAAATAACATAAGTCTTTAGGCCCATGAAATTTCAAGTTCTTACTTTGAAAATGCCAGAAATAGAAAATGAAAATTTCATACATTCAAGAAAAAATAACCCAATCAAGCTGGTTTTTCAATTGGACCTATATGTGAATCCTATGAACCTTTCTTTTAAGTTATAGAATAATAAGTAATCAAGTTTTCCTTTCATAACATTAGTAGTGGCAGTGCACAAAGTAGTTTTTTTTTTGACAATTCTGATGCAATATTAGATAATTATAAACAGCATAATTGATACTAATTTGTAATTACCTACTTAACATAACACTGACATTTAGAAAATGTAAATACCATTCGACTTTATGCCTGTTGAAGTTCTAAGTCCTAAGAGTTCTAAGTCCAAAGTTCTAATAGCTCTGAACTAAGCTGTTGATTACTCAAGGGACAATTACAGACTGAACCCCCATTGTAGCCATATGGCACCAAATAAAAGATTTCGTGAAAAAAGAAAATTTCTTACAGAACTGCACTGCAACCAAACAGAAAGCAAGCACACAGATTTTCCAACACAAGCTGCACTTCAGTGCTACGAATCTTTTCAGTAAATAACATGGTTTTCCCTTAATGGTTATCATGAGAGCAGTAGGGTTTTCTTCAAGTTTTGTGCAATATAACATAATATCTGTGTCTGTACATAATAAAAATTACCATACTTCTCTTTCTATGTGAACCATCATTTTAAACTCAAATCAATCCCAGAATGCAGTACCTTGACAGTATGTGTTATTGATCCACCATCATAAGTTTTACGGATAAACTTGGGGCAAATCATTCAGAGACAAAATGTATTATTTTTTTCTCATATTCTCTGTGCCTGCTTACCCCGCATGCATGGATTGCTAACTTGATGATATAATATGCGGAAGAAGCACCAAATACAATGTGGCTTTGATTGGAGTATACCTTGTTATAATTATTTAAACTGACTCTGTGGGGGACTCTTCCTAAATGCAATCAGATTAACTGATTAATATGCCTCTCCCTGGCCTTGAGTAGAATAAAGAAAAACTGGTGTTTATATGAGCATGTTGGAAACAAGAGACGGCGTGTTAATCTTTTTAAGTGATTGCATTCAGCGAAAGTCCCAGCAGAGATGAATTGATCTACATGGCACAATACTTTCATTGGGAATGAGCCGTAAGATTCCCTGTGATGTTATTAGGAAGCCCTATGCCAAGAGTGTCTGCAGAACATTATATTCCAGATGTAAAATACTAAACAACAGTAAATAGTGTTTTTTAAAGGTGCTGTAACTATATAATCTGGACAAAGACACTGGAAAAAAATCATACAGGTACAGTCTGCAATGTTAACCACTGGCCTGCCAATGCCAGTAAAAACTGAGATGGTGAAATTTTTGAAAAAACAGTCAGTTACTGGCCAGTGAATTTTTTCAGCTGTAACATGTACTCCAAAGTCATATTTTTGAAAATAAACTTTTGAAAACCCCATGTTTTTGTTCTTATTTGTATTAGGAAGCCTGTTTAATCTCAATCTGCTTGTTTAAGTATATTTTTTGAAAATGCCAATGACCAGTGCTTGTTCCATTGAATGAATCACATCACTGGTGTGCCACTGGGAGAATGTGTGAGGGGATAAACTTGATTAACCACTTAACAGGATATGATCATTTTTGATCTTAAAACAGAGATACTCCATATTAAGACAATTTCTATAATTATTAAGACCATGTAAGATCATCTGTGATCCAAAGTTGCAGATTCAAACCATTTCAAGCACTAGTGAAAAGAGTAGTAATGAACCCCGAACAGGGGGGTGCTTTTGTGGCTCTGTTAAAAAATAACAAGGTAAATTATCAACCTTGAAGAATCTGGTGAAATGCAACTTTATCTGCTAAAATCCACAGTGCTACAACAAATTACCACTTAAATGAATTTGTGAACACAAGCCATGCTAATGTGATATTTAAGTATTTTCTTACCTTAACATTTGACTTTGATATCTCATAGACGTCATCATCATCAAATTTGTACCACCTCTGATTTAAAGCATTCTTACAAAATGCAGTGTCTGAAATAATAATGTATGCCAAGAGAAATTTAGGTTTATCAGCCAAAGTACTTTTTTGGCAAAAATTTGTTGGACTATATAACAGTTAAACTGTGTATGTGTGTGTGTGCGTGTTTTTAAGTTTAAAATATTTAACTTACCAGTCACTCCGATAAATCTCCATAAAATCATAAGCCTCAAATGCAATCTAACATTTTTATTTGCTTGCATGGTGAGATGCACTAACAAAAAACTTTTCTTTACATCAGTTACTTCATTTTGAGTTTTACTTACAATGTCCAGATTCTAAAGTTCCACCATAGTGATTCTGAAAAGGAGACAAAAGCAATGTTGTGGTATTTCATGCCTCTTATTATTTGTAAAACAAAAGTACAAAATAGAAAAATCAACACCAATTTTTAATTATGCACTATTGTTACTGCGGACACTAAAAAAACAGGACCTCAGAACCATGGCAATTCAATGTGATGGCTTGAAAACATGAATGAGTGAAAATGAGAAATTAACAAAAAAAAAAAAAAAAACAACAAAAAAAATAAAAAATCAAGTCTTAAGAGCCATTGTAAAAAATAAAAACTGTAAGTTTCAGAATAATAAGTAACATGTTTTTTTTGGCCATATGTAAGTTGGGAAAGAGAAAATATATTGGTAGTGGTTTGGGATACATCGTTGAGGTGTGCAATAATTTTATAATCCAGGGGAAACTGTGGTAAATCTGTTAAATTTGTGTGAAAATGGCAGTAATTCTCATCATTGGACAGTAGTTAGGGAGCTTACAACCAGCCTATGTTGATAATAAATCAAGTCTCTTACCGATACTGCATACAGATTATACTCTGGTCGTCCCTTAGGTCCAGATATATGGTTATTCATGTCCAGTGCAGTGAGAGGGAAGTCCACATAGATGGTCAGTTTCTGGCCTCTATATCCAAAATGGAATCTGAAAACAGAAACAATATCACACCTTAGCAAGTGCTCTCCACACTTTCCCACTTGTTCTTGTTTCCGTGTTGATATTCAAGTAATACTGATACCTGTTACCTATATTGGTATAACACATATAACTATACACAGTATTTAAATTACATGTACCACATAACATTTATGCCACACGGGCCATTTTTTTATCATTTTCAAACTAAACCTTACTTTGCAGCATTGGTCTAAGAGATCGGTTAGAATGTTTAACGTTTGTTTCATATGATAACAGGCTCAATTTTGAGCAAAAATCACTGACAGGCCAACACAGCATCGTCATGATCTAGGTCATTGTTGATGACCTGTTAGTATAAGGGCCCATTCAGAATAGGGGACTAACTAGTTCGAAGGTCGAATATGGCCGACCCACTTGAATCCCCATGGGATATCTCTTCAGTGTCTGTTAGCAGATTAGACTTTGTAGTGCAGACATGCTGAAAACTATTCAGAATGGTCAGACATTTGGACTGGCAGTAATGAAAAATTTCCAGACTGAATGAATTTCTGTCGGACCAAAAATCACCCCATTCGTATAATGCAGATACTACCAATATTATTAGGGTAGCTTACTTTGTTTGTGGATGTGATAGGTTTGAAATGGAAATAAATAAATACAATGGGAATCCCCTTGTAATGAAGGTAAAATATATGTTATTCTAAAGAAGTCCGATGGATTTACTTTTTAAAACTTAAATCAATAGAACATTTCTAATATAAATTTTCAAAAAGACACCAGAGAGCAAATTAAATAAAATCAACCAGACAGTAAACACTGACAGGCTTTGTCAATTTCACCAACTTGTTTATTTCAAATAGCGTACTTTTCGTGCATGTGCAGTCGTTTGAATCCTGTGCTGTAACAATGTTGATACTAAAATCATGGTAAAAACAAGGAAGCACATCTCCTTAATGGACTAACATGTATGACAAAACTGATAGAAGCAGTGGCATTAAAACAATCTAAAAGTTATGGACAACCAATGAAAAAGTACAAAATATGTTCTTTTGATTGAATATAGCATAATGCTTAAGGTTACTGTAAGGGTTTATTATAATCCAGATACTGAAAATGAGTTTTTTCCCAACATGATTATTCAATAATGTATCTACCTTTGTGCTGATTTAAAACAATAAAAAAATCCCCTTGAAACATATTTAAAAATTGGCGTTTAGATTTCTTGTTGCGATGTATAAGCATAGGCCACTCAAAGCTTTTACTGTCAGTTTGACACCCTTCTATTGAGGTGAGATAGCAATTGGTATGGGGCGCAACTTTATCCCTGAACAATATTTTGTCACGGAAATTTGTATAGTTGACCACAAGTCCATGGGCTTCAATCCTGTGCTGTCATTTTAATTTTAAATGTTTTTTCTTTTATGGAGTAACTAGGCTCTTATTATAGATTTTCATTAAACAAAGGCATTATTTTGCTTGGTCAATTATTTTAATTAAATTCAAAAATCTGAACTAAGGCTTTTAAGAAAAATCACTGACAGAATTTTTGGAGTACTAAAATGGTATCATTAAATTGGTGCTCAGGTAGACTTGCCCTTCAAGAAATCGACGGAAAATAGCTCTTTTTCAAATTTGAATGGGCACTGTAGAAAATATATCACAGCTAAAGCTCTCAAATTAAGCACATATGTGTGATATCATGTGAAGAATAAGTTCTTTAAATTTCAATCCAAGCAGTTGAGTACATTTTGAGACAGAACGCTTTAAATGTGCAGCAAACCATAACGCTAATCCCTTCAAGATCTCGACGAAAACCGGAAGTGCATCATGATGTCACTCGCTTGTACTTGGAAAGCTGCTGGGTGATTTTCCGATGAGCAATATTTCGTGGCTTATACAAATGTTTGGAAAATGACCATGCAGATAAAAGAAAATTCACTTATCAAAATTGAAACTGCGTAATTACATAGAAAAACATTGTGCATTTCTGACCTCGACTTGTCAGTGTAAACAAAGTGCACTGAACGCATCGCCAGCAAGCACGTGAATGCCGCGTTTGATACTTTGTATCAGACGCTTCATTTTACTTGACAACACAGTGTTTACAATAGGCATGACAGGAAAAACAGTGCAAAAAACACGCACTTCCGGTTTTCGTCGATTTCTTGAAGGCGTCGATTTCTTGAAGGGCGAGTCTAAAGGAGATATTTAAGAAACTGATTTTTCCATTTTTACCCCAAAATCGGAATAATGATATCACATGTAAGATGACATGCATGTAAATTTCAATTAATTTATTCACTGAACATATTTATCTGTTATCCAAAAGAATGTATGTAAGGCAGTGAATAAGGAATTTTTGGCAAACACTATCCTCAAAGGCATAATAAACAAGAATTTTTAATTTTGTACTGCTGCATGTTACTGTGGACATTCAGAAAATGAAACTAGCATTAAAATTCAGCATCAAACCTGGAAAATGATGATGTACAAGTTGGTAAATCTTCACAAAAAAGATAAACTAAGCTTTTACCCCTATTTTTTCTCCATTTTGACATAAGATCAATGGTTATAGTCCAATAAAATAAAATGCTGCACCAGTTTTACAGCAATAGAGATATATGGCTAATATTTCAGACCAGTAATAACTTTACTTAAGTGGACAGTATGGATATCTTTAACTTAAATAGAATATATACAATATTATGTTTAAAAGTTTAGACTAACTCTGGGGCTATAGTTCTTTTACGTAACCGTCCCCAACACTATAGTATCTTGAAGTTTGAGATCACACTAATTACCACATAAGTGTAATTAAATGCAAAGCTGCAATAATAATTGTGGATCCATGATGAGGTACATGTACCAGTAATCGAAGTAAGCAAGCACCTGAAAACAGCTGACTATTATTTTAAAAATTTTTTTCTCTACACCCTAACACAAGGAAGATACAAGCTATTACTTTTCACAGCATGTATCTTCATAAGAAGAAGATTAAGCTCCTGCTCAGAGTTTTGTGTGTTCAGAACATAAAAACAAGATGTCAACTAATGATACAGCCTTGGCTCATTACCAGACCAACAATACCTGTTAAAATGTATGATGAGAAGATGGGGCAGCTTCCACAAGTCAAGCTTCTTGACTGCATCTCTGTCCTTCTTACACTGAGAACACTTCCACTGGATCTTCTCCTCCTTCTGATATAGCCTCAGACAATCCTGGGTAGAACAAAGCTACTGACAAAATTTCCAATGTATCAGCCTGTTTTTTATATGAAATATGATCTAGCAGTACGAATGTTAAGTGCATTCCCCTTACATATGTAGAGAGAGAGAGAGAGAGAGAGAGAGAAAGAGAGAGAGAGAGAGAGAGAGAGAGAGAGAGAGAAATACCTGCAGTGTACATCTGTTGCTTGATGGCAAGGGCAAGGTCAGGTACATGAAGGTGTCAAATGTCACTGACTGCTTCCTACAGGTCAGACATGTTAGGGTGGACTTATACTGACCCTACAATATTACAGTGAAACATTAACATACAACACAAAAATGTCTGTTTTGTACACCATATTGTTAAATGTCTGGATTATGAATTGGTAGAGAAATTTCACAAGTTTGTACCTTATGCTGCATATATGACTCATCTCTAGTAAGCCATGTGTGTATGAGCATGTGTATGTGTTTAACTTACTTAACAGAAATATACTAAAGGGTCTTATAGAATGTCTTATAGAAAGTTAGCCCAAATCCTATAGGGTCCTATAACAGATATGTCCTAGACAGGTTTCTTATAGGATATCCAACAGAATTTCAAAATAGTCCCATGAAGTCCTGTAGTATCATCATTGAGTCCCACAGAGGCCTATAGGCTATTGGAAATTTTTGTAAGGGTTGTCACAACCTTGTGTATTATGTATATTTGAGACTCACCTGAAACAGTTCCACAATATAAGACTTATTTGCCATCTTGTGTGCCTTCCATGCTTCCTCTGCCAGGATTCTGTGGTCTCTCACTTGGTCACTGTCCAGTTCCAACATCTTAGGACGAACTGTCACCTGCACACAGAAGTAAACTGTCACAGTTTGATCATTATGTACTGTTAAGAGTAGATCCCATAGAGGTTCCTTTTACTATATATTATAACAATCAATTTACCAGTTCCTTTGATGCCACATCAATTGGTTAATGTTTCTTGTGTTAAAACAAATCATAATGTAATGATATCATATCCTGAAAGAGTTTGAGATTTCAAGAACCAGCTTTAAATAACATATACAGATATGAGCCTAGGTTAAAAATGAACATTTATCATGGGATCCAACATCTAACCGGCAGGAGGTTGGGGGGTGGGGGGCGGGCGCCTTAGAATTGAATTAAAAAACGCGGGATTCCGCATTTCCCGAGGATGAAGCTCATGCCTGCATATAAGGCATCATGAATGATATCTTTAAGTATTCCTAAGAATATCCTAAGCTTGCTGCAGTTCCTTCCGCAAAATATTTGGAATCTTTCCTAAAATAACCAATTAATTTTATTATACCTTTGAAGCACTTTTATAGATAATCTAGCCAAAAAAAAATTGGAAAAAACTTTTTCATCTTTTAAACAAAATTAAAATTATTTAAGCATATGTCAAAATTTACTTTGCCAAAATGAGTGTTCATTTTAAATGAAATATAAGCCATAAACACTTCATTAAAACCACATATATATATATATATATATATATATATATATATATACACACACCTCATTTAGATCTTCATGCAGAGCATCCAGTAGAAACATGAGGAATTCCTGGGAATCCTGCTGGTCAAAACCAGAAAAAGTGCTGTTAAATCTGCCCATCACTCCCTGAAATAGAAAATATAAAGTATTTGGTAGAAACATGATTTCCTGGGGAGCCTGCTGTTGACCAAAATAAGAAAACATGCAGCTGAATTAGACCATCACTTCCTGAAAAAAAAATCAAATTCACAGCATTTACTAATATTTTAGAAATAATCCCGATGTGATTTTCTGTTACATAAACCACCAGTCTGAGACATCCGACTAGTAGATTTGATGTAGAACTTGCAAAATATTTGGGATTTTGGAAGCTTATTGTCTAATCAAACTTATGGAAATGTTGATTTAAGTTGAAAAGCACTACCTTAAAATCTCTTGGAGCCACAAACTTGTACTGTCCAGACCAAAGCACAGTGATGAGGAGAGCAAACTCATCTGCCACCACACCTTTTCGCCCTAGTTTGTTTTCCCTGCAGATGAAATTGAAACATTAACAATAATTATTAACTGATGCTCATAATGTAAAATGCTGACAAAAAAGTCATTCAATATATAATTCTACATAAAACTAGCCAGCAAAGATGGCAAATAAAGAGAGGCAAAAAAGGGGTAAAAACAATATTTACAATAACAAAAATAATTATAAATCAGCAACCTTCATAAAATATTCCAATCATGCTAATTTCCAAAAAAAGACTTTACTTTAGCAAAAAAAAGTCACACAGAAAATTTAAAATGAAACAAAATACATGCAAAGAAAAAAATCAAAATCCACTCAGTTAATTGGAAGTAAAAACAAAAACACTGTTTGGCACTTATGTCGCAATATCAAACAAGGCAGCAAAGCTGTCAAATGTACAAAAACAAAGCAGAAAAATAATGATGCTAGTGCACAATGTAGTTTTTTGTCAATTTCAATGCAATATTAGAAAATGATTAACAACATAATCACATTCTAAATTCTAATTATGTACTATAGGTATCAAGGACATTCAAAAAATATCACTAGTGTAGGGCTTCAATCCCATTGTGTTTCAAAGCCACACATTGAAAATGCAAATATCAGAAAAATGAAAACTTCACAAAAAAAGCAAGAAAAATAATACAATAAAGCTGCTATTTGAACTTGACTTGTATTTAAGTGGCATAAATCACACCAGTAAGTTTGAGGATAATACATCACATGGACTTCCATAAATTGCATTAATGGTTAAAAAGTGCACTGCAACTATACAGATGCCATCGATGCCTATGTCAGATGCAACTGATAACTATAAGTTCAGACACATGGTGTCAACACAAAACCTCTAACTCTCAAAAAATAAGGTCATCATGACAATTTTCTGAAAAACTGCAATTTTACCAAGCAAACCACTCAGAAAATTTCAATTAAAATGGAAAAATGGTTTGGCAGTTATAGGGTGAAGAACAGATGTGGCATTGACAGCAAAGGCATGGACAGAAACTGATCACAGCACAGACTGTGCAATCTTTACCCATGTGCCAGGACAATATCATGAAGTAGTTGGGGTGAAATACCATTACAATGTCATGAAAAACTCCTGAATTATTTCAGTTTGAGTTGTTGTTCAATCCATCTCACTCACTCACTCACTCACTCACTGACTCACTCACACACACACACACACGCACACACACACACACACACACACACATAGATTTGAACATACTAGGGTTTACAGCAATTTAACCAAGCTCTCACCTGTTAATGTGGTTCCTGTAGATAGAATCTAAGAAGTACTTGGCAAGCAGCGGTGTATTGCTTAGACACTGGATTGTTGAGTTCATGTAACAAGTGTTTCCAAGATTACGTAGTCCAGTCAAACCTCTGCCCTGAAGATATTAAGAGGCATTTGTGATATGTGGTTTAAAAATAACATATACAATTTGCTTTGATTTTATTTTGAGGTGGGTGTCTTACATTTTTTTTACAAGTGAGAAGGGTTTCTTGGGCACAAAAAATTGACCTCTGGAAGTATTTGGCCATGTATAAATCCATGCTGAGTTTTGTTTAAACTTATGTCAACAATGACGTTCACCATTGACATGAATAACTAATACAGTACTATATAAACCTGGGCTCATGCTGACATAGTCATTTTAGACAAATGTTAAACATATATAAAGTAGCTTTTTCTATCAGATGTATAGTTCATACATGCAGCTAGCCATTTGACTAACTGATATTCTATCCTAGAAAGGGAAAAGCTAACACTGTAGATACAACAGTGTTAGACAAGGCAACAACTATTTAATCTAAGAGGTGTATCTGGAGTGGTTCTGACAAGTGAAAGGAATGACTAACAATAGAATTACATACCACACTGCCATATACAGGCTGGAACCCTCTCAATCTAGCTGCAGTGATCTCAGTCAACACTGGCTTCACATTCTCATCTCGTAACTGCGGGGTACTGAACCTACAATTAAAAACTCAAAGTCATGAAATGAAAGAAATATTTCAAGGAAAAATAAACCAGCAGATGCAAATAAACCTATCATTTGGCTGTAAATGTTTAAACAAGGCAGCAAAGCTGTCAAATGTACAGACAAAAAGCAGAAAAAAAATGATGCACAAAATAGCTATCAATTCTGATGCAAAAACACATTATGATTAACAGAAAAGTCAACATCAAATTTTAATAATTCAAAACAGGTAGAATGGATGTAAGTAAAATGTGTAACTAACATAAGGCTTCAGGCCCATGAAAGTTCCAAATTCATTCTTTAAAAATGATGGAAATAGAAAATAAAAATTTCAAACATTCAAGAAAAAATAATAATCCAATCAAGCTGGTTTTCCAATTTGACCTGAATGTCAATCCTATGAACCATTCTTTTAAGTTCCAAAATAATAACACAGTTTTCCTTTCATAACATTAGTGGTGGCAGTGCACAAAGTAGGTTTTTTGACAATTTTGATGTAATATTACATAATGATTAACTGCATATTCAACACCAATTTAATTATCTACTATACATAACATCTACATTCAAAAAATATAAATACCATCCGGCTTCATGCCTGTTGGAGTTCAATAAAAAATGCCAATATATGAAAAATAAAAATTTCACAAAGAACTGAATAGCTTCCAGAAAAAAGAATGCGGTCATACTGGTTTTTCAACTCAAGCTACACTTCAGTCCCATGAATCTTTTCAGTAGGTTTGAGAATCATAAGTGACATGGTTTTCCCTTAATGGTCATCAAGGCGGCAGTATCCAAAAAAGTGTTTTTGTCACATTCGGTGCAATATTACATAATGCTTAACAGCACAATGACCATCAATTTTTAATAATAAAATAAAAGTAGCTTGGATATTCAGAAAATGTGACTAGCAGAAGCCTTCAAGCCCATGGAGGCTCAAAGTCACACCTTGAAAATGCCAATGTGAAAAAATTAATTTCACACACACATATACACACATACACACACAAAACTTATATAACTTCCACAAAAAAAAAAAAAAAAAAAAAAAAAAAAACAATAAGACAGGTTTACCAACTGAAGCTGTATTTTAGTCCTATGTTACTTTCCTGTAAGTTTGAGAAGAGGAAGTTACTTGGTTTCCCTAAATGGCCATTATGGAGGCAGTGCAGAAAACAGGATTTTTCTTCAATTTTGATTCAACATTACATAATGCTTAACAGCATAAAGACCATCAGTTTTTTTAAAAAAAAGGGGGAAAAAAGTGCATAACTTTTCTAAAAATGGACCGATCAAGCTCTTTTCGAAATGGACCTGTATTTTAGTAAGATTGTCCATTCCTGTAAATTTCAAGACAAAAGGCCTATCTGTTTTTTTGAAATGTGTTATCAGTGTTGCATATATGCTCAAAAAAGAGAAAAAAAAGCATAACTTTAAAAAAATGGCCTGATCATCCTCATTTTCGAATTTGACCTATGTTTTATGAATATTCATCAGTTCCATAAGTTTCAAGCCAAAAGGTAAAATGTTTTTTTCCACTTATTGTGTTATCGGTGAAAGTGCAAGGCGACGACAGCAATGGCAACGCCAGACGCAGATGATGGCTATAAGTGCAGACACATCTGTACTTATAAATACAAGTGATAACTTGATCATGCCCATTTTCAAACTTGATCTGTACTTCAGACCCACAAGTAAGTTTCACCTAAAATGGAATTACCACTTGATGATTAAGTGTCCCCAAAGCTAATGTCACAGACATATTAAATGATAAAAATACACATATACACATTATTAATAATCATAACTTATTAACATGAAATTATTGTAACCAGAAAATATTTTAGCCTCTGCTTCCTTTTTAGACCAAAAAGTAAAACCATGGACTTCAAGTTTAAATTAGTTTTGATTTTGAGTCACTGTGCTAATAATTCAGCAATAAGGGTGGATTGAGCACCTCCTGCATGGTCCCGTTCCAGTTCAGTAAGGGACTGATGCAAGTGATAACAATACGTTCAGATCCTTTTGTGTCTGTGTAAAAAAGTTAAATTTTTATAATATCTTATATCTAAATAGTCAATTAATTGAGTTGCATTCTGTAAAATGCTAAGTTCTACTGGTTTCTGTGTGCTATCAGAAATAGTCATCATCTTATTTAAATCAATTTTAAAACTGTTTCCATAACTATATGTTAATAGATTACATAACCTTTTGGTTGAAAAATTACAGAAAAAATATTAAATTTCAATCAATCTGATGTACCTAGCAGCTGGCTTAGTTGTGCGGTCTATAGATGGAAATAGTTTAGTTCCCTTAAAGTCATCATCATCTCCAAGTTTTGTCAAGTTTGGAGAGGAGTTTGTCCTTTTCAGGTTTGTCTTCGGTTTGGAGGGTTCATCTTGTAGCTGCATGAAGTACCTTCCACTGGCAGATGGTGAAACTGGAGGAAAAAAAAATCATTGAACATTTTGCAATGCTACATTGTGATAAAAAAATTATCATAAAGATATACAGACATAAGAGAGGTTTCAAAAATAACAAAATAAAAAGAATGAAGCATCAATCCAAAACAACACCATCACTTTAAGCTCATCATATCCTATTTTTTTTTTTTTGGTAGTTAAGCATTCCATCTTATTATAATTTTGAAAAATATCTAACATAATATAAAGTGTAAATTGAGCTTATATACATAAAACACATGTCTGAAGCTTGTTATCCAATGCTTTTTATGGGTAAATGGAGACATGTTTGTTAATTTGATTGCCTTCATCAATGGCTATTTTTTTGTGCCCCTGACAGAAATTTCCTATGGGGTCTATAGGAAATTACCACAAATCCTATACATTTTATAGGACTTCCTATAGGACACTATAAAAATTTGGTTTGAAATCCTATGGGGTCCTTTGGATAAAAATTCTGTAAGACATTCGATAAAATTCATATTAATTCCCATAGAGTCCTGTAGGGCATTTTAGTAAGGGTGCAAATGAAAAATTTAAATTGTACGTTGACCATTTTTTTCCACCCACCCCTGAAGTGTATTTGTACTTGACTGAGAAATTGATCAAGTTTTTTTGTACCTTATATTCATACTTCAAATTCGTCATTTGAGAAAACTTCCTCTCAAATAAAGAAATTACTGTGGACATTCATAATCAGAAAAATGAAATGATTATGATTGGAACAACTTTTGAAATTCCTTAAAATTTTTTAATTGAAAACAAAAGTATTCTCTTCTGATGATTTTATGACTGAATTGCCTTGTTTTTCAAACAAAACCTCAAATGTAAAAATAAGCACACTGTCACAGCTACAACAATGAAACAGCTTGCCACAACAGACACACTCCTTACCCTGTGGTTGTGTTTGAAAGGACCAATGGGTTGTCCCTGTGTTGTGGTCAATATAGAATGTCCTTCCAGTCCTCACATCCACTTTAGCCTCCCAACCCCTTGGCAGAGAAGTGTCCTGGGGGGTGGCTATAATAGGTCAAAGGTCAAGATATAATTGTCACAGGGTAAAGGCTTAAAACTTGCTGCTTATTCTATCCTATTATCTTGGGTCTATTCAATGTGTCCAAACAAGGCAGCAAAGCTGTCAAGTGGACAAACATATTAAAAATAAAATGTACACAAAGCAATGGCATTAAAACAGTCTAAACATGACAAACATCTAATTTAAAAAAATATCTTTTTTGTCAATTTTGGTACAATATGATTATATAATTATATTATATATATATATATATATATATATATATATATATATAATGATTACCACCCAATTTTTATTATGTTTTACTGTTAATGGTAATTCAGAAATTGTTACTAGCATGGGGCTTCAGGCCCATGGGGGTCAAATCTTAAAAAGGCAAATGTATGAAAAATGAAAAAAGAAATGAAAACAATTTACACAAAATGAAAATAAACCCAATAAGAATGGTTTACATTAGACCTATGAAAAATTCCAGTAAGTTTGAGAATAAACAGTGATATCTTTCTCTTTTTCTGGTGTTTATGATTAATAATTCCAGAACAGTGTACAGACATGGTGTCCTTAGCAGTGACTCTAAGGACCATGGCTCCACGTCTGGACACGGGTGTCTGAACGTAGAAAAAACATCAGACTTAAAAAGACTTTCCCACCAGAAGATGAACATTTGATTTTGTTAGTCAATACAACTTCTCTCAATACCTATATACCCTCCTCATCCAGCAATGACAAATAAATCCCTCCCTTGAAATGACTTTTTACCTCTTTTAGCCTGGTCCGCTCTGGCCTTCTCTTCAGCATCTTTTCTGGCTTTTTCCTCTGCTGCATTTTCGACTCTCTCTCTCTCCTCTGTTTCCCTTCTAATTTTCTCACTTGCTTCCAGCCTGAAATAACACCACCTTCTTATTTAAGATCACATGGGAAGAAGTTTGAAAATAGCATATGTGCAATGGTTCAATTAAAAAAAAAAATATTTGCAACTAAAAATAGGTGGATTGCAGAAAAATATAAATGATTAAATTCACCTCAAAATGTCAATATTTGAAAAGTGCTAAATAACAAAAAAACTGTAAAACTTCAAGAAAATGGCCAATAGAGCTGCTATTTGAACCTGGCCTGTATTGGAGGACAATGAAGCAGTCTGAGGATAATAAATACTCAGTTATCTATTTATTACGTTAAATTCACAATGAAAAGTGCAGGGCACCACTGACAGGCGATGGCTGTGTGTACAGAAAGATGACTCCACTGAAATACCAAATATTACATTATATCTGAAAGTGAGAAGATATGATCCACATATTTCATTGTTTCTCAAATTTTGCAAGATTTAGCATATCATAGACCCTGCTATTTTTTACAAAACTGATGCAATATTTTCAATAAATTTCATTGTCTTGTGTCACATACTTTGCCTTTTCTTCAGCGTCATATTTATATTTCTCTTCTGCCTTGTTCCTGGACTTTTCCTCTGCCTCTAACCTTGCTTTTTCTTCCATTGCTTTTCTTGCACTCTCTTGTGCAGCTGTTTTTCTTTGTTCATCTGCCAGCCTTCTGGCATCCTCAGCCTCTTTCTGTTCCTGTAATCCAAACAACTCCTACTTACAATCATATGTACATACAACACAACACATTCTTACTGAAATATGAAGATTTGCTCGGCCCAAGGACCATTGCCATGGCAATAATTATAAGTGTTAAAACCCACAATAAGCACAGATAGTAGACACAATTGTTAAGCATGCAATAAAAAAATTTTTTTAATGTCTAAAGTGTGGAATAATTGGATAAAACACAACATATTTGGTTAACACCTTTGTCCTTTTAACATTCAGCTGAGATATATATTCTATGCACATTCTAAAATCTATTTCTGGACACTGATTACCTTATACCTGTCAATTGATGTTAACAGTGAAATCATCTATTGAAAGCCACTTAAATATAAATAAACAGAAAATTTTGAGTGTAAAGCACTTTCAAAACTGAAGTAAAACTTTCTGCTGACTTGTAATCTCACTTCCATAGAACTTATCCACAACCTGAGAAGCCAATTTTTTTTTTTTTTTTTGATCTGTTTGTGCCCCTGACGAGGCCTCCGGGTCGAAACAGCTGTAGGGACTTTTTAAATCAAAATAGAGAGAACAGACTAATTTGTTCGGTTCTTTGTCTTTACATATATATATATATATATATATATATATATATATATATACATACAATCATTAATGTGATGGCTATACAATGTGTCTATAAATACAAGGACTTCAGTTGCATTTAGAACTAGCTTCTGCTCTGGCTCCAGAACCATGAACTATGGACAGTCATAGGTGATTGTCACATGTATGGACACTACTGTATCGGCAAGTACAATCTCTTTGTTACCTGTAATCTCAGTGCTGCCTCCTTGTCCCGTCTTTCTTGTTCCTCTCTAGCTGCTTTATCAGCCCTCTGCAAAATATACCTAACATTTCAAAAACAATAACAAATGTTGATAGAGTAAAAGTTTTGCCATTTCCATTAATGTAAATTCTAAATTAACATCTCTTCAAAAACAGTTTAAAGTAATTTGCAATCCAATATTTTAGTGTTATTCAAATGTCCAAATAAAAATACTTATTCTCATGCATAATATTTTTTACTCGAAAGTTTTACATGCAAGCATGTTTCAAAATGTCTACTGACCTCTCTGTTGAGCTTATCTTGCTCTGCTTTCATGTTCTCTTTGTGCTCCTGTATCTCTTGCTCTCTTCTCTTATCTTCCATTTCCTTTTTCTTCCTCTCTTGTCTCAATCTTTCCACCTCCTGTTGCATCTTCAACTTTTCTTTTTCTTCTTGCTTGATTTGATGAAGATCTTCTTCCCTTTATTTAAATATTACAATCTCAAAGTGGATGTTAGCCATGTGAAGAGGTCACTCAACAATGCTTACATTAACTATTTTCTCTTATGTAAGGAATACATTTCTGAATGTTATATACATAAAAAAATGCATTATACTTCAATAACATAACTGAATATTCATGTATGAAAATACTTATCAAAGAAATCAAAATAAATTTTACATTTCACTCAAAAGAGTAGTTACTAGTATATAAATATATATGTTAAGCATGTATATGTTATAAGCATAAATAACCAACTTTCTTTTTTCTTCTTCTTTAATTCTCTGCTGTTCCTCCTCTTGTTTTTCTTCTTCCGTCTTGATTTGCCTCTCAATCATTTTCTTTTTTCTTAGAAGCTCTGCAACCTCTTTTTCTTCCTAAAAGAAACAAAAGTTTAGGTCTTCATTATTGTCTGCTTCATCTGCTGATAATAAAATCACAATTCTTGATTTTAAGTTATGTTTAAAATAGTGAAGTCCAACATTTACATTCTAGTTTTCATTTTTATTCCAAGTCTGTAACATAAGTCACTAGTGTAAAGTAGAAACTACACACAGATGATGGAAAATTCACAGACATTAATCACATGAATTCAAAGAATCAGATTCGATGGCATCTACACAAGCCAGATGGCAAATGAGTTTTTAAGATTCCAAAGAAAAAACAGTAAGAAATTTTCACCTCTACATCATGCAGTTATGGTCTGTCTAAAAGAAGTTAACATTTTCCCTGTAATAATTCCCAATCTCTTTCAAGTTTTCTAACCAACACTAAACAACAAGAACGCCAAACACTTAAAATGTACCATTGCTTTTTTGAATCACACAGATATTCAAGTAAACACCCCTTTTTACCAAACAAAGCCAAACATCAAATTTATGGTGGATATTAATGATTATTATGATTATAGAAAGGAATCTTTTTCTTTGTTAACCAATAAAAGGTACTCAATTTATTTAAAGTGAAACAAAAATATGGTTGAGTTTTTTGCGGGACTGATGGGACAGCATGGTCAGACGAAAAAAGTTCAGAAGATATACAGACACATACATTGTCTGAATATTAAACTTGAATCCTTCTAAGTTACTCATCCAATCTGAAAAGTGGAAATTTTTACAGGTAGTTTCAAAATAATTTTCCATTATCTGCATATTTTGTCTTTATGACTAATTTTGATTTTGGCTAGCAACTCCCAGAGGTTTAATAGTTCCAGTGACCAGTAGGCTAAAAAGGTAAATGTGTAGGCTGTATGAACTATTAACTATTATAGACACCTTTTCCCTCATGGCCTGTAGTCTCTCTATTCTATCCTCTTCATCCTTCAATCGTGCTAGTCTGGCTTTGTGTTCCGCAACCAACTTTTCCCTCTCCTTTTTATACTCCAACATCTCTCTCTCCTTCTCCTCTGTTTCCACTCTTAATTCATCTAGCCTGGCTGTGATATCCTTCTGCGCAGTGGCTAATGTAGAGCTGTCAGAGGATTCACTATATTCCTGGATTGGTCTGGGTTTGGGTTTCAATGAACGGTTGACTTGTGGTATCTGTGGACGTGACTGAGGCTGTACCTTTGTTTCATCATCCAGTACAGTTTTTATTAGGTCATTTTCAGCTGCTCTGCTGTTCTGGGGAACAAAGTTAGTTATACTGCTGCTAGAGCTTTTCTCTGTTAACTGTTTCTTTAACTCCTGATATATGCTGTCAGTGGCTGGTTTAGTAAAGGGTGGCTGAAAGGACTTGTTACTGTCACTTCCTGCTACAGCAGATACAGGGGGTTTTGGTTTCATTGATCTATCCACCACAGGCCTATTCTGTCCTGTAGATGTTGTTACAGTACCATCAGTGTTTATCTGCTGTAGACTTGGTCCATTCTGTACATCTGACTTTTGTGGCTCTGGGGGCTCTTCATCTAAATCTGGATAGTCAAAGTCCACTGAAAAAAAAAAAGAGCACATTCTGCTTTGATATTGTCGCCATTTTACATACTTATATTCATCTTTATCAGTAATCATAATCTACATAATGGTCAATATCAGTGGAATTAATGTACTACAAAAACATAGGATCAAAGTAAAGGAATACATAAGAGTATGATGCTTCTGCGTTATTCAGAATAGTGATTCAAGCAGCACCTACTGGCAGGTAAACTGAAAAACTTTAAATGAACTTACATGAAGGAAGAGCTGACTGATCTTTCTTAGTATCAGATTGTGGTGCTGACACATTTGAGTTAGTGGTGAGAGTAGGGTAATACAACAACCAGTCTTCATAGCCACCATCTAGTACTAGAGGTTCGTGCTGGACTATCACCAACTGGTCCCACTGAAAATGCACATTTTTTGTTACATAAAAAACCTCAGTAGTCACCACTCAGTAGATATTGGCTGACTGGTGATATTATCTTGGGAGACATTAATATGTTTCAAATAACATAATAAAACTATTAGTGATATTTGCTCTTGGTCAATTAGTAGTTTTGCTGACCTCATCGAAAGTCGATTATTGAAGATAATCCCATTTTGCTATGCAACACAAGTGTACATGTACATGAATCTGCAGTGAGACGTGTCTCATGAGGTTGTGTCATTGGGCTGATGCCAAAATGCGGCAACCATCAACCATATGATGCAGCTCTATATCTATCAAATGACACAGCTGGATATGTTTGTATACTCCAAGAGAACAAACCATTTGGAACTACCAGGGTATTTTTAACCAATCTAATTACAAGCCTTGTGTGTGTGTGTGCGTGCGTGCATTCCCTAACCTTATAAATGGCATCTTTGAGATTATTCAGGGGACTGTTGGTGACAAGATCAGCCAAAGAACTCTGCCAGTCCAGCAGGACAATGTACCCCACATGTCCCCTCTTTTTCCACATGGGCAGTGCCTCTGTTGGGAGATTCTTCTCTATCATAGCCACAGTGCAACTACAGAGGAAAAAGATAAAATGATGACAAACAGTGTTAGCAAATTCAAAACAACATTTAAAATTCTGACATAACTGTGAAGAAAGAAACAGAATAAACAGATGTGTCTTATTTTCACATAACAAGCATTATATCTATACATCACACTGGCACATGAGATTATAAAAATTCCAACTATCATAGAATTAAAACCAAAAGACCTGTGAAATTATTTCAGCTTACCCCCCTGGTAAGATATCAGCTGGTACATTAATACATGAAGGGTCTCTAACATGGGAGTTCTCATAGTCTGCAGCAGCTCTGATATCTAGTATGAGAACTGAGCAATCTGGAGTCTGCAGCATCTCATACAGCTTCCTACAGCTCACAGCACCTGAAGAAATGAATTAACAGCTGAGAGACTAACAATAATGATAACCTAATATATAGAATCAATCTACCAACCTTAAACTCTTATAAAAACATACAATGTGTACAGTGAGCTAGACTGGAAATATAAAAACATGGGCTTTTTAGGCCTATTATGTCATCAAGGCAGCAAAGTTGTCAAATGGACAGAAATAAATGACAAAACTGATAGATTCTGAAGTGGTAATATTACAATGATGAACAGCCAATTTAACAATAAAAGCACACATTTTCATCTATACTGATATATGATTCTTAAAAGCATTATCAACATGAATTCATAATGGTGTACAACTGTTACTTTGGTCATACAGAAAATGTAACCAACATTGAGCTTCAGACCCATGGGTATTAATTCACACCTGAAAAATGCCACAATAGGAACTCAGGACAATTATTGTCAATTTAACTAGTTTTTATTTTAACCCCACAGGGACCAATACTGCTGACCTAGAAACTTCTGTTGGGCCCAATTTGCACAGGTACCTGTGAAAAGTGAGATTATCTTAGTATTTTTGCCCCAACTTACTTGTTTGCAAATACTTCACAAATTATTCATTTTACTGCAAGCTAAGGGAAGATGTCTTTTAAAATGAAAATGTCTGAACTGAACAATGGGCTATTATCAAATTTATATCTGATAACCAGAGAGGAAAATCAGAAACTTCATATTACAATGAACAATTTTTCTTAATTTCTTTGTATTTCTACTTGAAAATTAATCATGATGGCATCACATAAGTTATGCTTTAATTTGTAAGTTTTATGAATTTATCATTATGTAACTGACTGATCCCATGGCTGGTGCTTCAAACAGCAAGATAAATGCACTGAAACATATTAAACAGGTGAGAGTGTAAGCAAAATACAGTTGCATTTATCCTATTGTTTGAAATGCCAGCCGTAGAATAATCTGTTTTATTTATATCTTGCATACCAGAAGCAAACTGATTCTCTTTTTCAGGGGCTTCATTATTTTCATTAATCTTTTCCTTGGCCATTTCCTGTTCTTCTAACTGTTTGACCATTTCTTTTTCCTCTTTCTGTTTCCTTTCAAGTTCTTGTTCTTTTTTCTTATCCCTTTCATCTAACCTTGCTTTGACATGTTCAGCCTCAAGGAGTTCATATCTAAAATGTAAGACACAACAAGGCAGCAAAGCTGTCAAATGTACAGACAAAAAGCAGGAAATAACTATGCACAAAATAGGCTACTGTCAATTCTGATGCAAAAGTACATTATGTTAAACTGCAAATTCAACATCAAATTTTAATTATGCTCAACAGGTAATACCAATGTAAGTAAAACATGTAACAAGCCGAANTACAAAATCAACTAACAATGTTGTAAAGATGCAGGAAATGTCAAACAAAAACTTTGACGTATCTTATTAGTTTAATAATGAGACTTTTAACATGCCTAAGAATGCATTGAATCTGAGGAAATGTGAAAAATATGCTGAAAAGTGAAAAAACAGCATAACTTCTACAATAATGGCCCGATCATGCTGATTTTCGAACTTGACCTGCGTTTTATGAATATTCACCAGCTCTGTAAATATAAAGCCAAAAAGTAAAACTGCCCTCCACTTATCGTGTTTACAAGGAAAGTGCACGGCATCGGCATCGCCATCGCCATCGCCATCGGCGACGACAGACGCAGGTGATGGCAATATGTACAGACACATCTGTGTCTGTACATAAAAATAAGTATAGTCATTTCCCCAAATTATATTCAGCTCATACCTCATTGGATAATTATCATCTGTCATAAAGATAATGTATTTACCTTCTTACATAAATATACACTTTCACTCACAAAAACACAGAAACAACCAGGCAGAGAAGGTAAGTAAATCTTCAAACCTGTCTTTGAGACTAGATGACAGGGCTTCAGCTTCTTCAATTGCCTTCAGCTGATTTTTTCCTCCAATCATCTTACTGAAAAATTCCTGCAAAAAAATATCCAAAAAGTTGGAGATATTAAAATGATTAAAACATATAGTCCTGTAAGTTACCAGACATGTATAAAGGTACTGAAGAAGAAATTTGTATAGCGTGTTTGCAATAATAAAGGTACTTTGTACGGGATTTACCTGCCTAAATGAAATTGCCTGGAGAAAAAAGAAATGTTCTCCTATTCCTGCTCAAACCCATGTTACACTTGGATTTGATGTTTTATTCCTTTTTAATCTAATGCTTTAATTCTAAATGACTGGTCAAATACACTTTTATTAAAGTGAAATCATTGTCCCTAAGATCTGAGTTGGGGAATGTAAGAAGCTTGCCATTTATAATAACTCAAAATGGCCAATTTTTACACAAGAATGGCTGCTAAGGAGACAAAACAATTTTCTCGGAAATTAAAAAAACAATCTGGAAATGTGAGGCAGCAGTACATTTATATAAAATTAGAGAAAAAAGTTATGGTAGGGATTCCAAGATATTAGTGTTAACAAACGGACAGACAAAAATCCACGGCTTAAGGTTAGGTAAGCTAAAAATATAAATCATTCAAGTAAATGAATCTTAATCATTCTAGACAAAGAACTAAATGTGCAATTTTAACAACAATAAAAACAAACCATACAATTGTGATAAGAAAAACTTATACAAGATTAATGTAAATAAATAGTTCAGTATTTTTTACAGTCACATTTAATACAAAACACCAATTGGAGTGTGTAGATAACTAACCTCATTCTTTTTATAGTCTGGCAACTTTTTCGCAATGGTTATGATGTTGAAGTATCTCATATACATTACATATCCTCTCTCCTCATCTCCATCCAGCTTAGCTTGCTCTGCATGATTGAAGATCTTTTCAGCTGACTTCACAGCTCTGAAAATATTTGAGTTTTCTATCAGTTTTGATTCAAAATAACATACATAATGCTTAACAGCATAACCACTACCAAATTTTTAGTTATGTGTGTACTATAGTTGGCATGGATATTCAGAATAAGTAACTGGTATATTATATATGGCTTCAGACCTACGGGAGTTCAAAATCATACATTGAAAATATGAAAAATGAAAAAATAAAAGCAGCAAAGCTATAAAAGTTCAGACATAAAAGCAAACAATTACGCACAAAATAGTTTATTTTGTCAATTTTTATGCATGATGCTTTGCATCTCAATAACAAATTTTAATGAGATTAAACTAATTCAAAATTCAAGGTCACATTAAGATGCCCAATATATGATTTCCTATTCAAGTTCAATGGTAACTATGGGTGTATCTCTGCTAATTTGCTAAGTTCAAATCATGGTGAAAAGAATCATTTTATATGCATCAACATGTTATGATCATACTTTAACTTAAAATTTTGTTAGTAAAAGGAGACTTTTATGGGATATAAATAATAAACTATTGTATATATATGGACTCCACAAAGCATATAATCCATAGTGTGCCAGAAATTCTATATTAGATGACTTAAAGCAGTACCAACACTTTTATAAAAAGACTGAAAGCACTTCTTCATACCAAGCATTGGACATATTAAAGAATTATTAGACGTGTATGTCTATGGTAATTACTCAATCTTTGCAATGGAGGGAAAATTGTAAATTTTACAGATATATATTTTTTTCAAGCAAAATTAAATCAATCCTACTGAGCGTCAGCAACAAAACTTAAAAGCGGGATACTCTACAGTTCTATTCTGTGCAGTAAAAGCACCACAAATGCTATAAAGAAATAAAATTTTATGATTATAAAATTATGTATCTAAAAGTTTGATAAGTCTTGCCCATTGAAAAGATAAAGTAATTACCGTAATTGTTGCACCATGTATAGTCAACAAAGGTGCTCCAGCATTCAAAGCAATACATACAGCTTATCATAAATACTTTAAGAGCACATAAGTTATCTGTGATAAAAAACTTACATCCTCGCACTGGTAAATTTTTGTTTAACCTCTGCCAGCTTGTTTAACTCAGCCATATTCTTAGCCACATGAAGAGGCTTCTTTGAAGAATATGACGGCATCTTGGTCTACTATTTGGTTACGGGTTAGGGATCACATATTGGTATCTGTTAATCTGAAATTAAAATCCAAAAATATAGGACCCTGTATCTGAAAAAGTGTACTTATCTCCACATTTTAAAAGGGAGCATAACCTGCGTGATGTGGGAGGTGCTACTGGAGAGTCAGTGCCCAAGCTCAGTGATTTTTGAAAGTTAACTGGTAATGATCTTGACAGATGTTTGTGCTGTGGAAGCATGTTGGGATAAAGAGCTATTTTCAAACGTAGATTTATGTACAAGGCAGTGCCTAATTGTCCCACTTGTCTATGGTTAAGATTAAACTTTTTATAACTGAAAAAAATTCAGTATTTGGAGCTTATTTTACAGGGCGATTATCACCTCATTTTAGGCCTTACATGCTACACCTTGTGTTACAAACTCTCAGGGCTATCAGAATCTGAGTATCCTTGTTTGTTACACTTTTAAGCATGTCATTCCCCCCAAAAAACATTTTGTCATGGGTTTCAATCCACATGATCGACATTACATGTACACCTTAATGCTATTTTAAACATCAAAATAACTTGCTTTTTGGATACTGCACCCCAAATTCACGAACCAGTTTGATAACGTTTTTCTCTTTGCAGTAGTGTTACTGATAGCACTTACGCGCCTTTGGTAAGTGAAGCTACACACTGTCACAAGCACTTAAACGTTTAAGGCCGAAAATTGAGGCAATGGCTATTCTGTATATTTCGGTTAATTGTCTTTGATAAAGCATTACATCTTTGCAGTTGACACAAGTATCAAAGCTTTAAATAGTGAATACCATCTTGATGTATGAAGCTACTGTATCCGTAATAGGATCCTGTAGGGTTGCCTAAACAAAATGCGGAAAGTGGATTTACCTTTCGTTTTCAGGAAGTTCGGTCAAAACTGTCTCAGTAGATCATGTGATGCAGTTTCTATTTAAAGTGTGGATATTAGTGTTGACTTTTATAATTTAAAATTTCAATTATAAATATGAAAAAAGATAAAAACAAACGCTTGGTATTTTATTTAACTGTAGTTTACTTTGTGTGTATGGGGGGGGGATAAAACGAGCGAAACTTATATACAAATATCATATAACTTTTCATTTACCATGAAGTCGTTGAGGAAAAGGCATGTCCAAATAATCATTGTTTTGATCTATTGGTATTGCTGCTTATGCTTAGCCAACAACGAATCTGGGGAAAGTAAAAAAGGCACAAAAGACGAAAAATGGAAAAAGAAAGACATAAGAGACTACACGGAGGCGGACTTGGAAAGGCTTTACGACCAGTGGGAGGTAATAATTAATCCGCGACACGCTAGCCATCAAATAATCGTTTATTTTTTCGGTGAAGAATCCAGTGAAGGGCATTTTGTTATTTAAAATAATCTTTAGTAGGCAGTTCGTTGGTATTGCGTGTATTTTGTGGTATTTCGTGACATTTCGGTACTTAGTGACGCCCTTAAAGACACCCGTAAAAATTACCATAAATATTTACTATTAAAGTTGACTTTTACTGTGCATGGTCTGCACATGGGACTTGAGATCTGTACAGGAAAAATGTCTTTGCAGCTCCTGAGTTATGACAGAATTGGATATCCATGCATTTGACCTCCAGTCTCAAGCTGCAAAAATATTTCTCCTTTCCTTGTACATTTACCTTTGATTGATTTTGATCACTGAATGCATGTTTAAACAAGATTAAAAATTTTCTCCTAATCTTCTAGGAGGACGATGAGCCTCTAGAAGAGGATGAGCTGCCAGAGTACAAGCGCCCACCTCCACAAGTGGATATGGGCAAGCTGGACGCAGATGACCCAGATGGATTGCTGAGAATGACTAAGAAGGGGAGAACACTCATGATGTTTGCAACAGTCTCAGGTACATTGGCCTACATTTTGGATTGAGTTTGGAATGTCTGTTCCTGTCAAACCTTGGTATTATTTTTCAAACAATAGGCCTTCAAGAGATAATGGAAGTTGTTATGTGAGAAGCCAATATGATGAAAGGTGCATGATGGTGATGACTTTTTTTTCTGTTTTTCTGTCTTGCAGGCAACCCCACAGAGAAAGAAACAGAGCAGATAACTGGGCTGTGGCAGTCCAGTCTGTTCAATGCTCATTTAGAAACTCAGAGGTAACATCATCTCTCATCTGCCAGCTCTGCTGTATGTAGGTAGATACAGGGCACCATTACCGCATCCCCTCATAAACTACCAAGACCTGTGTCCTCATCTTATAGAATCAGGTCACATATATTATCTCAAATTGACCCCCTTAGATTTATAAACAACAGGGCATCAGTAAGTTTCCCTAGGACTTTAAGCTTGCAACATTTTATACCTGTGTCTGTTTGAGATAATATGTAAGGCAAGATCATTCTGGTTGCAGGTATGTAGTAGGAAGTAACAGGGTGCTGTTTATGTTAAAGGATGGTGCTATGTCCATTGATGTGAAGAATTTTCTGGTCTCACAGGACAGGTGTGAGGAGGTCACCATAGAGGGCAAGAACTACCCAGGGAAAGGTGCCACTCAGGTGGGTAAAACAATACGAGCCATTTCCAGAAGGTCCCATTGAAATTGAAGTAGAAAAGTGAAATCAAACTTGCAATGATAATGGTCTTTCTTAATGTTACTGGCTATAAATTCCTCTTTGTATTGCAAGTTATACACAGGATAACCAAATGAATGTTGCTGAGAAATCAATTGACGAAGATGGCTGCCCAGCAGTATGTTGGATGAAACTCTGGGCACAGTAATGTTCATCACACATACAGGACTGCTTGTAAAATACATCTAGGTTTAATTTAATGAGAGATAACCATGCTGATGTAATCAGTCTTACCAGTTACATTGTGGAACATCAACTGAAAGTATTCTGTACAGGCAGTTTTGTGTAACAGCAAGATGTTTACTACACATTTCACTAGGGAGACTAGAAAGCACTTGAGAGAATACAGACCTCTGTTAAGGCAACTCAGTTCTCATTATTATTATTTAATTAATCAAATTATAGATATAGTTATGTTTGAGGTAATACACTGACATCTGAGTGATGTGTGCCAGGACACCTCTAATATTAGCAATAGGTGTTCAAGGTATGTATTGCAAGAGGATAGCAGTGTACTAGTTGACATACATGCCAAGAGAAAGTGATTCCATTTCGCCAAAAAATGCCCCTAAAACCAAATGAGTGTATATCCCTAACAGTCACATATAACATCTTTAGATATGTATTTTAACAGCATGGTTACGATATATAGGCCTCTATATCGATGCCTGCAATATTTTAGTGTAAAGTAGGCCTACAGCTCACTTAGTTTACACTGATATTTCAAGTCAGAAATCCACAATTTCAACTCTAATTACACATTTTAAGTAATATGATTAACAAGAAGGGGGCGGAAATACAGATTATTTATTCATTTGATGTGATGAATGAGGGGAGAGTGTAGCTCTTGTTGATTTTAAGTGAAAGACTTCCTATAATCACTCATTTGAATGACTGCGGGTTAAGATTTTATATAGAGTATGTCTGTGACATGATTTCGATATTTTTTTTTTTTTGTAGGACAGTGTGGGAGGAAACACTGTGAAAGATGACCAGAAGAAAACAGATGATGTAAACAAGGTGAAGAAAATCAAAAATAAGGGCAAAAATGACATGAAGGATAAGAAGAAAAACAAAAGTAAAGACAAAGACACCAAAGGGAAAGATGAATTATGATGAATTCTGGCAGTATACTTGTTGACAAGTAAAATGAGCAAAATTTCTGGGTAGTGTTTCTACCCAAAGGGAAAGATGAATTATGATGAATTCTGGCAGTATACTTGTTGACAGGTAAAATGAGCAAAATTTCTGGGTAGTGTTTCTAGCAATATTGTTATTTGTTGGGTATATTAGAGTATATTAAAGAAAGGAACTTTTTTATATTTGTTAATTGTTATGGTAATTCTGTAAAATGAAAAAGTATGGCAGAATGAAAAGGGATCTCGCTATGAAAGCTGTTCAAATTGGCACTGATATTATCTTTGGTAAGACACAGTGACCTTTTCAGGATAAACTTTTTTATAGTGTTGAAATACATATACTGGCAAAAGCCAGTTGAATTATTCTATAGTGTACAGAAGGATGCATTTGTACAAAGTCAAGTGAAAGAGGCAGTTGAGGAATGGTTTAAGTTTGTATTGTTTAATTTAGAAACCCAAATGAAGAATGTCAAATCTGTAAATATTATTTACGTAAGTCTTTTTAATACAGAGACAATTATAGTCTTTTCTATGAGTTTTTGTTAATAAAAGAAAATATTTTGACCTTAATGCATATTTTTGATGACCTATCAAAATGCTACATAAGATGATCAATAATAATAATAATAATTTATTAAGCCAATAAAATACAAATGTATAAAATCGGGAATCTTTTGCCCTGTAGTAGCGCCATTGAAATATAAAAAATGAAAATTAAAATTACATGTTAGAGTTAAAAATAGTTACTGCCGAAGGATAAAAGCTATTTAAAAATCACTTACTACCCTTAAAAGCTAAGAGTCTCGAATTGCTAGGTAAAAATTTAAAAAGGGTATGGGCTGGATGGGAACTGTCTGTCATTATTGATAATGTTTTCTTTTTAGGCCATTAATGCAGGCCATTAAAAAAATAATGGCAAATAATTCCTAAAATGTTGAACTTTTAAAACTTCTCCTGCATTGCATAACTGAAAAAAAAAATCAATGTATCTGTAACTGTAAAAAAAGGGAAAAACAATTTTTGAAAATAAAGCTGAAAATGTCAGGAGTGTAGACTCATGACTAACACTGTTGAACACAATTTGACATACAAATTATTTCAATCTCATATTTGTATATCATATTATTTATAAGCCATCCATGGCATTTGTTCAATTTCTTGCTTGTAGCTAAGAGGTATGTATTGAGCCTAAATTGCATTTGCCACTGGCGCCATACAATGAAATTATTTTCCTACTGTGTTATGTTAGAACTGTGACCCAATACATGCATTCCTTTGTTCCAACAGCATGGTATCTACATCATTGCAAACCCAACAATTAATTTATAAAATGAAATAACT